GGGACTTTTTGCAGTCCTGGGCCAAGACATGGGTGCTCGTACACCATCGACCTTTCAAAAGTCAAATGACGGACGCACCCCGACGTTTTATGTTCGGACGTCTTAAGCCGTACTCTTTGACCCGCAAGGAGGTTGCTGACTTGCGCAGGACCCCCTTTGAACCAGCTCCTCTGAAAGCGAAGAGCCGGGTCACAGTCGTCGACGAGGGGCGTCCGAGCAGGCAACAAAGCTTGGGTCGGGACGGCAAGGCTGCGGTCAAGACCGTACGCCGGAGGGCTCCCATACGAACGGACCCCGGCGCCATACGCCGAGTACGCTGAGTACGCCGGGTACGCACCATACGCGTACGTCTGGGAGTGTGCCGCAGGCGGCTCCGGACGTGGCAACAAAGCCTCGATCCGTCGGATCATGCGAAAGGCCTCGTCCAGATCGGACGAAGAGGCCCGGCGGTCCACCCGCAGGTGCAGGCTCGCGACCTCTCGCTCCACCAGGTCCAGGCGACCCGCAAGACGAGCGAGCTCGCCCTGATTCCCGGCCTGGGCGGCAGCATTACCGCCAGTCCCAAGGCCAAGTGCAATCTCAAGCACGAGGAGACGTTGACGGAGGCGGTCAACCTCAGGGTCCCGTGTCGGACCCGCAGTCGGAGCACTCGGACGAGAGTGGCTCTCGGGAGGCGCCGAGTACTCGTACTCGTACGAGGGCACCTCCGCCCCTGCTTGACCGGAATGGAGAAGTCCACTTCCACGTGGAGCGGATCCTCCAGGAGCAACGGTGTCGCGGGAAGCGACAGCTCCTCGTGAAGTGGAGGGGCTATGCCCACTCCGAGAACTCGTGGGAGCCGATTGAACGGCTCCTGATTGACTGCCCGAAGGCTGTCGCAATCTGGGACCAGAAGCGGCGGCAGCTTCATAAGTAGTCCGGGGCTTCTTGCCCGAACGGGGTACGGATGATGAATACATACCGTACCCGCGCTCATCGTGAGCGCTAGAAGCCGCGCGCTTCAGGATGTCCCTTGGCAGCATACGCTTGCTGATCAAGTGGGCAAACCTCACACGAAGATCACGCTGGTCCAGGATGTGGGTCAGCTGCTGATCTTCATGGAGTTCCCATAACTCCGTGGGCGAGTACTTGAGAGTCTCCACCCACGCCCAGAACATGTCCTCACAAGAACTCCATGTGGGACAGTTCTCGGGCATAACCCAGGGGTATCCCCAAACAGGATAGAGACCACCCCGGGTCTCGGGCTTCTTACGACAAGTCGTGAAGTCCTTAAGGGGAATGCGGTGTGGCGCGAGAAGCACACACCGAGCAGCCTCCACGTTGTCGACGAACAACTGTTCTTTCTGAACAAGGGCTCGTTCATAGATGCCCCTAGAAGTGTGGCCGCCCACAAGGCCACGAGGAGCGACGAGAAGCTCTAAGAAGAGGTCAGCCCCAGAGCTCTCCTCGGGAGGCCAATACCCTCTTGAGTTGATGGCAGCTCCCTGGCTGACGGGTGCCGCCACCGAACCCCCACGCACACGCTGGGCAGCTTGGAAATCCTCCTGCTGCTGGTCGAGGTCATTCGAGACCTCCCGGGGCTCAACAATGGCACCCTCCTCTTCCTCTTCTTCCTCCTTCTCCTCCTCTTCATCCGAGGAGCCGAAGAGACTCTGATAGGAGCGTCGAGTCTCCTTCTCCTCGCGGAGTGGAGACTTAGAGGCGGTACGCTTCTTTGAGGGCTTGGCGCCTTCGGCTTTAGAGGCCTTAGCGCGCGCAAGACCCTTGGCAAGCGAGAGACGTTTGCGAGGACTCCCTTCCTCATCGCCACCGGCTTTGGGAGCGCCCTTAGCCTTAACGGCCGGACTCTCAGAGCGCACAGAGGTCCTGGGACTGTGATCACCGTGATCACTAGCGGACGACTGCACGCTGTCTTCTTTGTGCTCACTGGGCACTGGGCTGTGCCTTCCCACAGAGCCCGCAGGAGCATCATGAGTGCTCTCGGACTCGGCATCGTCCTCACTGCCCGAGTTGAACTCACGTTCTACGAACCGAGGGTTCGGACGATTGTGTGAAGACGAGGGCGACGGACTGCGGCGCCTGCTTGCGCGCTTGTCCGCAGCCGCGTCACCCGAGGATCCGATCGCCTCGGAGGCCACCTGAGTAGCCTCCTTAAGTGCAGAGCCTTTGCCGTGAGGCTTAGTGCTCTTGGCCTGCGCCTTACCGGCTGCAGCCTTGGAGCGTGTCTTAGCACCGCTCTTAGCAGTGCCACGAGGCATGTTAACGGTCGAAGTGGAGACCTTGACGAAGAGCGCACAGGTTGCTGCTCGAGGCTCTAACTGTAAAGTGAGCCTCCGCCGCGCTCGCGCGGCCGAGTCGATGGTTTTCGACTTTGAGAATGAGAGTTTGTGACGAACATCTCTTCATTCTGATTGGTCGGTAAACCGAACCTAAGTGGGGGAGGATGTAACGGGGTACGTAGCACTAAGTGTACCCTGGTTACATGAAGTGTGACACTTCACACTTCAGGAGTATGACATGTTATACTCCGGGATAAGTGGTACAAGGTACCAAGGTCATTCAAAACCAACCATTGGTTTTATGACATTGCATTTCTATAGGTAACTGATAGTTTGTATTAACCTCAAACTTAACCTACCTATAAATATACTCAGTTTACAATCTACCTTATTTAGGTCACTTCGCTCTCTTTAATTAAAGAGGGGACCTGTGAGCTGCCGTTCACTGAGAGTTTGTATACTCTCGGAAGATAACTTCCTCTAGCGCAAGGTGCTGTGTGACCCCGTCACACCTACTGAGGTGAACGACGCTCACGACGTAGCGATACCAAGAGGCAGTTAATTTTGCGGCCACCTCATCTCCAACAAACCACCACGGCTAGTGGTGAAGTTAATATAGTGGTAGTATCACCTGGTAGACCAGTTAATATAAAAAAATGTTACCTAATATTTTCTTGGATAAATTTAGAGATTGCAAATAGCACCATCTTATGGTAGTTGTGAGTGATTCCATGCTTACATATTCATGTCTTAATTATCTTGACACATCCCGCAGTGAATTCCTTCAATTTGTTAGTTGTCAACGCTGAATCAGCTCTGATACCTCTTTTCGCTCCCTTTTCTTTACAGCCGCGACTGGTTCTGCTGCAGGAGGAGATCCTCGAACGGTTGCAACTTCATGGCCATTTTGAGATTTCCTTGCAAGCGCAACTTCTTCCGGATCAGCGCTTGCTGCAGCCTCAGCCGTCCCGCCGCCAGATCCAGGAAGTCTTGTTCGTCCATGTGAATCTGCAGGTCCGGCGTCAGGCGCGAATTGCGTCCTTCCAAAAGAGTCCCGTTGCCGTTCAGTAGAGTGATCGTCCAGACCTCCTTGTTGATGTGCCACTCGAGCACGCCCGAGATCTGTTTGCTCAGCGCTTGACCCTTTTTCTGTAGGGCAATTCGCAGTCGGTCAAATACTTCGGCGCACTCACTGGATCGAGAGGTAATCAGCGACTTGGGCGATGCCGTCACGTTGCGCATCATGGGCTCAAACGAATTCTGCGTCGAGGTTGGATGGGTCACACGGCTGAAGTCTACGACGTCACGCCATTGTTCAGCCACGAGCTCGGGCGTGTACTGGATCGGGTCCGTGGGAAAACCGACACCGTGTGTGCGCTGCAGACGCAAAGCACCAACCCAGCCTCCTCCTAATTCAAACAACCCGCCGTTATCCTTGCACGACGGGTGGCACAGGTACACGATGATGGGCGATGTCAGCTCCGGTGTCAGTTTGGCGTATACGTCGTCGGGCCACACCGGCTGGGTGAGTCGTGTTCCAGCCACGGGAGACACGGCGTTCACTGAAATATTGTACTTGATACCTGGTACATCGCATTAAATCACAAGAGCAGTACCATAAGACTCCGACAGCATTCTCCTTTTCATTGGACAGACACACCTTCACGGTTGAGCGCTACTGTAAAGCCCACAAGCCCCATTTTCATGGCAGCGTAGTTGACCTGTCCAAAATTTCCGTAGAGTCCAGTACCTGACACACAATTAAGGATGCGACCGTACTTTTGTTGGCGCATGATGGGCCATACTGCCTTGGTCACGATAAAGGTGCCAAGCAGACTCGAGCGGTACACATCGTCCCTGCAAATAAGCAGAAGCAGTAAGTGCTTTGTGGTTCTTTTTCTTCATCTCTCGGTAGTTCGTACCAGTTTTCCTTCGTCATCTTGCGGAAGGATCCATCGCGGATAACCGTAGCGTTCTACATGTACAGCAAATTCAACAAAGGTGCCATCACTCATGTCCGCAATCTCCCAAAAAGTATCGGTTGTCCATACATTGATCAAGATGTTTACTCGTTTGAAGTTGTCCATCGCCGTCTTGACGATCTCAGCGCCATCCGTCACGCTGTGGTGATCGCCCACAGCTACGCCCCCTCGACTGCGAATACTCTGCACTACATCCTCCACCAGCGAGTGGTCGGCGTCGTTGTCATTCACTACCACACGGACACCACGCGATGCCAATGCCTGGGCCCATGCCCGACCGAGACCGCGGCCCGCTCCCGTCACGATGGCCACATGGGCCGAGTTTTCGCTCCCGAACGATAGCATTCTTTCTTCGTTTTGTTTTTTGGCTCCAAGTTGAAAAACGCGATCGTTTTGTGGCAATAGTCATTTTATAAAGTCACATTTGGCGGTAGAAGCGATGGCAACTGCGCTGATTCACGCCGAGTTCGGAAAGGACTGCGACCTGTACGCAGCTTTGGGCGTGGAACGCTTGGCCAATGACAAGGAGATTACTCGGGCCTATCGCAAGCTCGCGCTAAAATATGTGCGCTTATTTAGGGTACATTAATCGCCACTTGAAGCTGCAGCTGACTACTTGCATTATGCATCACCAGCACCCTGACAAGCAGCGCGGCGATGGGGCTTCGCGTGCCAAGGCGACGTCCAAGTTTCAGGCCATCTGTGCCATTCACTCGATCCTGAGCGACAAAGAGGCACGCGCAGTATACGACGAGTCGGGCATCATCCTATCGGACGACCACGACGACAAGTCCCCGTCTTTCCAAATGTGGTCGCAGTACTTCGCTCGGGTGTTCCCCAAGGTCACCAAGGAGGACATCGCCAGGTTTGAGGGTGAGTACCGCCACTCAGACGAGGAAAAGCGCAACGTACTGGCCGCCTACACCAAGTACGAGGGAAAGATGCAGCATATTATGGACACAATCATGCTGTCCACAGACGAAGACGAAGAGCGTTTTGCTGAAATGATCCAGAAAGCTATCAACGACAAGGAGGTGGGCTCCGTTTTCCTTAGTCGATAACGTACTGGCGTATTGATGTCCTAACAAACTTTCACTTTGGTGAGGCCAGGTAAGGAACTTCCCGACGTGGCATGAGTACGCCATGCATCATTCCAAGAAAAAGAGAAAGAAAGAGACCTCCGCGGAACAGAAGCGCAAACAAGCAAAGCGCGAGATAGAGGCACAGGAGGCTGAAGAGCTCTTCAACAAGATTCGTGGCAACCAGCACAAGCGCGGCGAGGGGCTAGAAAGTGCAGCGCTCAGTACTGAAAGGTAATGTTTGCTGGTGTTTTGTTGTAATTGAACTGGCTCTGATGCGAGCAGAAATCGTGGGTTTGAGTCATTGCTGGGCAGCTTGGAGGCTAAATACGCTGAAAAGGGCAAGAAGACGAAGCGTAAGGTTGCGCCACGGGGCTCTGGCGAGCCCAGCGAGGAGGAATTTATTGCGGCTCAGAAGAGACTTAAGCGCAGTAAGAAGAAATAGTCCAATGGGGTTCGAGGTATGTAGCTTCAGAAATGACATGCACACTGATGTATTTTCTTGCCGTGCTACTTCGTGGTCATATCTGATGCTGCAGTTGTTGTTGCCTGTTATCCCTTAAACTCACCAAATGTTGTGGCCGTGGGGGTCCCCGGTGCAGCTGTCTCGCTTTCCACAGCAACTGGGAACGGCTCTCCATTTTCCATCGAAACGCTTACGTATTGGCCACTTGACTCGCAAGACGCATCGTAGCCAGCGTACACCAGCAACGCGTCCTCCTCACGAGAAACCACGTGCTCGTCGTAATCACGAGCCTGGTAGTCCACGTGCACGAAAGCGCGCTCCACCTCCTCCAGATTTTCCACTTTGAACTGCACTTGAAGAGCGATATCATGGGCCAGCTTAACAGACATTTCACCCGGGACAACCACTTCCAACTCCACGAGATACTTTGATCCAAAGTGGTAAGCACGCACAATATCGAGTTCCATAGATGGATGATGACGGCTGCAAAGTTCCTTCACTTCCTTAATAAATTCCTCACTGGCGCACACACCGACAAGTTGAGTGATCTGCTCCCACGCCATCTTTCCCCACGCCACCATAATGTAGACAAAAATTATAATGGCACCCGCCGGGTCGACATACCAAGCCTTGGGCTCCACGGCAGCAACGATGTACGCCGCAACAGCGAAGGAGTTACTAAGCATGTCGTTGAAGTTGTCCTGGTGAATGGCTTCAACTGCGACCGAGACTGTCGACTTGAGGATCCAGGCAGAGTAGAACATGAGCCCAATCTTGACAATCACTGCCGTAGCTGCAATGGCGATAGCAGCGGCTGAGAGGACCGGCGCCTCCGGCTCGTCCGACGAGAACCCATCGACGAGCTTCGTCACCGCTTCTTGGATAAAGACTATCGACGCCAGCACCATCACACTGGCGGCCACAATGATAGCCCGCTGGCACGGCGACGTGCCAGCGGGGTACTTAGCGTAGTCCTGCTTCTTGCCCGAACGGGTTCCAGCGTACCAGAGTAGCCCCTGGACGAAGAGATCGACCATGTTCTCCACCAACGCTGAGATCAAAGCGAGCGAGTTGCTCGTAATGGCCACAGAGGTCATGACGATGACGATGATAATATTCGTCGTAAGTGAGGCCTTGAGTACCACCGCCACGTGATCCAGCGGCTCCTCTCCGCGCAGTACACGACGCAAAGCGGCGAGCCGCGCACACAGTGCATTCTTCGTAGAGTTAGTCACCAGTCTAGCAGTAGGGCTTTCCATTTTTTTTCGCGCTGGTACGGTACCGATAACTATGGTTTGATTGACTTGTTAAGAGCGGCGCAAATGGCTCAGTGAGCTCAGTGAGCCAATTCCAGAAGGGAACTGCTGGCCCACGGATCGCTTCGTCACGAAGCGATCCGTGGGCACGAAGTTCGTGCGGGGTGATTACCAGACCTCTTTAATCGTGGTATAATAAATAGGCACACCGCCAGACCAGCTCTGGTCCCAGAGCAGGGGTTAATAGCAAATGGTGATATACCTGATACCATGGATACCGTATCCGCATGATACTCGTATCAGTATCACGTGATACGCTCGATCATTGGGATCAAGATCACTGATCCTTCTTCACAAATATATTGATCTTTGACGATACTATACTCACGTATCCAGTCAGTTTCTGGTTTTGTATTTAGATCTGCAACCCCCGACAGCTTACAACAAAGACGCCGCAAACGATGGCAGAAAACCCCACAGGAACGACGCAGACTGCCTCAGCAACGGCACAGACGGATGAAGAGGGTGTGGACGAGCATGGTATACCTCGGGTAGTCAAGCATTGTTGCCAGAACATGTTCAATCCGGTATGGAGATTCATCCACAAGCTATCCCAGCCCATACCAGGATCAAAAGAGCCCACAAGACCGTACACGCACATTTGTATAGTCTGCTGTGATGAACACAAAAGCTCCGACCCAACCGCATCAACGTGGAGGAACTTTCTAATGCGACCAACTACATCTTCCAACGCTAGAAAACACATGTGGGGGCTCACAAGGAGCACTCATTCACATTGGAGACTAAGCGGAGAAAGACCAGTGATGTGGCTAAACGTATTCAGACATATGATAGTGGACCTTCGGGTGAACAGGGAAAACAGCCAAACCAAAAGAAGCATCGCACAATTCACGAGGCAATTGCCATTAATGCTGACCAAATGAAGATTTTGTCGACTATTATAGATGGCTACTTTCTTCTGGGTTGCCTCACACGGTACTCCAAAACCCTGAGCTATTGGAACTTTTCCGGCGTTTGGCGCACCAACCTGCGCTATTGACCCCTGCCCGAGATACTTTTTTTACGAATTTGCTAAAGCAGAATGGCACTTGCTTATCAAATTGGTGTCTGATACACTGAGCTGAGAGTTTTCAAAAGCAAAAAAGCAGCCATTTATCACGATGTTGCACGATCTGTGGACCAATGCATCGAACATGAATATAATTGGTGCGACTGTCGTATTCGTGGATTCAGAGTGGCGCTTGATCACACTTTCGCTCTTGGCGATGCCAAACCCGCACGGCCGATCTGCTGGTACTGCTGCTGATCTTATTAAAGCACGAATGCAAGACCGCTACAACATTGATGTGGACCGGTACGTTCGATTCACAGTAAGTGATACGACGGGAAGCGCTCGAAACGTATCCGACCATTTCAATAGTACGGATCAAGTGGATTGTTTAATGCACTTATTAAGTTTGTGTCTGTTGTATGCTCTCGGTCTGAAAGAAAACACACGAAATCGTGGTCAGAGTATCATAACACCGGGAGGGGAGTTCCGAAATGGTCTGAAAGTTATTCAGAAGCTTCGTGATTTGGCAACGTTTTTCAACACTCCTCAAAGAATCACTAAACTCAAGCAGATAAAGAAGGCCCTTAGCCTTCCAGGTGTCAATATTGAAGTTGATTCGAAGACACGAGTTGGATACGCTGTAACGCTAATACGTCGCAGTGTACTAAATCACTATGCCTTTGCTCAGTACTTTGAAGGAGCGCTAGACAGTGAGACGGCTGTATGGTCAAGCATTTCCAAGGATGATTGGACGCTTATTACCGAGATGGAAGGGCTGACTAACCAACTCGCACAGTTTAGTCTGGGCGAAGTGAAAAGCAGGGCGTGGCAAGCTCGTACGTCTTACTTTTTCGCAAAATGTTGGTTTTTGCTGGTGAATCCACTACAGTTAATTGTTTGGTTCTCGATCGCCCTGGGCCAAAAGCAACTGAGCATTCGCAACGCCGAGCACCAAAGTCGATATCCGAGTTTTCTTGGGATGGCAAACGTTGTCGCGACCGTCTTCGTGAGCAACTCGCTCTTCGGTTTCCAGTTGAGGATCTCAACGACATAAAAGCTTTACTTCTGGATCCGCGGATTAAAGGAAAAGCACATAGTATTGTCAGTGAGTCATCAGTTCTTGCACAAGCCGAGACCGAACTTCAATTTGAGCATGCTCTCATTTATCAGAAATTGTTTGCAAGGCAAGCAGCAGACGAGGAGTGTAAGGGTGAGGAGCCTTTGCCGTCGGGGGTTTCTCAAAGCAGCTCTGATCTCATTGACACTGCACTGGGTGGTTTACTAGAGATCGACACCCCGGCTCAAAACGTGGAAATGTCTGATTTCCAGGCTGACCTATCCGCCCAAGCGATGAGCGCGTGGAACGAATGGAAGAACTTGAATGTCTCGTGGCCGTGTTCAACATCCCAAACAGGCAAGTGCAATTTACTAGACTTGTATCGGAACGTAAAAATACTAGCATGGTTTAAAGAGTCTGAACAACTCCTGTTTCCTGGAAATGCCGTCCTAGCAAGAATCTATCTTGCTAAACCTCTGTCAACTGCAATTCAGGAGCGCTTCTTTAGCTTAAGTGGGTACGTTGTGAACGATTTACGTACCCGTTTGGATGAGGACCGGGCAGAGATGCTTTGCCTGATGAAAGCAAACTGGAGAGAGTACCGGAGCTTGCAAAAGCAAACTGAGGTAGACAGCAAGTAGCGACTCATCTGAATATCACATTATTGATATGATATTGATACGTTACTGATACGCCAGCGTCAGAGTATCAGTATCATCGGATATTGGTTTCACCGCTTTTTAAACTGTATCAGGATCATAAGTATTGCCCAAAGTGCCGATGCTGTTAACCCCTGTCCCAGAGTCAGTTTATTAGAAGTACTGTACAGAGAAAATCCGACAGACACAAAAATCCGACTAGTGATTGTGAGCACACCTCTTTCCCATCGTTGAAGCACGTTGAGCGAAGCTTCACAATGAAGCAAAAGCGCGAGGCCTTGACGCTCGCTAAATGTGAGGCCGTTAAGGCCGCCTCCGAAAAAATCAATATTGCGCGATGAGCTATCTATGATTGGCGCAAGCAAGAGGACGCAATACGCAATTAATTTCAAGGGACACCACGTTAAAAGGTCAGGGACGCAAAGATTTTTTTTCTGGCGTCTCTGATCATGAAGGATATGCGCAGATTTGAGCAAGTAAGTCAATGTTCTATTTGTTCTATTGTGATTTTGAGCTTACTTTTCTTACATTAACATGTAGGTTCTATCGACTGCCGGCATGATTCACTTCATGTGACAAATTCATCCTGAGTGGATGACAATCTACATAAACGAAAAAGAAGCGGGCGAGCTTGCGCTAGAGCGCATGGTTTGCAAATATTTAAAATTGTACTAATTTCTTACGTTAAACTTAACTTTTTGCTCTAAATAGCAGCGATTTTCATCACAAAAACCTCAAACGGCTAAAAAATCATTTGAAGGCCTCGAAGAGACCCGTGCAAGCTTTTCCCTAGAGTTTTGGTCCAAGTATTGTTCTGTCAGTGGCGGGGGCATTCTAAATGTCGATGAAACAGCCATACTGTTCGACATGCCGCCAATAAAGTCGTGGGCTGGCAAAGGGCGCAAGGACTCCGCGCGAATTTTGGGCGGGTATATATTTTTGTATTTTTACCCAATCATATCTTTATACAAGAAGTTTTTAATCCAATTACTTACCAAAAAATAATGAATGGCCGGAGATAAAACACTGCTTGTGCGTCGGTAATTATCAAGTCATTTTGCGCGGATAAGCACGGCGGTCGAATGACCGCTGTGCTAACCATTCGCGATGACGGTATGTTATTTGTATTTGTTAAAAAGTATTTTAAATTGTATCTTTGCTAAAATATTTTTAATTTGTTAGGAATGAACATGCTTATTTTGTTTATCATCCGTGGCGTCCCTTGTGGTCGCATCGAGAAAAACGAAATGGAGCAGCACCCTGACGGCTACTTCTACGCCATGCAGGAGAACGCATGGATGGACACCAGTGTGTGGAAATTTTACGTAGAAAAACTTTTAAAGTTTGAAATAGATGGCTCCGCTGTTCTTCTGGTTGACAACTTTGAGTGTCACGTTTCAGAACAAGGACAGCGGCTTGTGGCTGAAGAAGCCAATGCTACTTTGGTCCCACTACCCCCAAATAGTGTGGTGAAGTGCTTTCTCAAAAAAATGAGAGAATGGTCCTAACAAGGAGTCACTATCCCAAATCAGTGACAGCTTCAAGTGGTTATAGAGGATTTGGATCGCCAGGCAGGGATTTACGTTACCCGAGGTGGATTGGTCATGATAAGCGGCATCCCGTGTGAGCCGACGATGGATCTGGTTTGGATAACGTATGGGAAGGCAGGATCCACCAAGGGGAGACTCGGATCCACCCTCACCTGAGTTCACTTAGGGGAAAATAGGATATACTATGTACAGGTGGATCGAGTGAAGATCCTATGAAGGAAGGATGGTAGGTGTCATCTGAAGGTGGATCTGGGGTCAACGACTACCGAGAAGGCAAGATCCACCGCGATATGTCCCAGATCCCATACTTCCGAGTCCGGATCCAAGAGGGTGAGGATCCCACACGGAGTAACCTGGATCCAAGATATGGGGATGGTGGATACAGTGGATCTCGAACTTTCGTGGAGTGATGAAGACCACGACCTGTCGTAAGACAATGTTGGGAGATTGGAGGGCTCAGATCCATGACGAGTGTACACTTGCAGTGAGGTGGATTAGGGTGGCCTGGATCCGGACAAGTGTACCCATAATGTGACAGCCATAATGATTACGCCATGGATCCGGTGGATCTGATGATAACACAGCTGGGATTGTGGGTCAAGGAGAGAAAGGACATGCAGCCGAGCCTGGTAGGGGATTTAGCAGATAAAAGACATAGAAGGTAG